TAAGAGCTAAACTCAGCTCGTATGCTGCATAGACTTTCCAATGCAACTCCCTACCTCTCAAATACCTATGGACCTCAGCATCAAGTTACAAACTCTCTTCGTCAAATCCACCAAACACAAGTACAACAATCTCCTAAGGTCACACCTCAGTTTCGTTCCTTTGAAAGGAGCTCAGTGAACCAGTAGACTCGTAGTTGCTTTCAGAAGAACTCAGTTCTCCTCAAAGTAAAGGGGGGGCAAGGAAAGGATATAAAGTAAAATAGCACAACTCAAAGGCAAAAGTTAATGAGTACAAATATAATGCAGAGAAGAGAAGCTGTGAATCAATTGTGCTTTTCAAAACAGAAAAGAGTTACATTTCAGAGTTATAAATTTTTCTAATTTTAAAAGCCCTAAGTTCTTGATGGGGAGTAGTTGAAGGACTTTGCAGTTCAGTAGGAAAGTCTCAGCAGCAGGAGTAGGAAGGGAGCCTGGAAGCTCAGAGAAGGAAGTAGCTGGCAAATCCTCCATTAGTGAAGGGATTGGGAGCTCGAAAGTCAGAGTTTCTATAAGCTCTGAGGAAGGCAGGAGAAGAGGAACCTTAAGAGTTTCTGAGGAAGGGACATCGACCTTTGTAGATGATGAGTCTAGGGCCAGAGCTTGGGAGACAAGGTCGGCAGAGAAAGGGGCAACCTCAGAAGCAAGAGGAGACACGGGGTTAACCTCAGGATCGACAGCCTTAGCCCTCTCCTTAGTGGGGGATTAAAATCAAAATCTTGTCCAGGGTAGAGCTCCTCAGCTCTATCTTAAAAGACGAGCCACCCGAAAGCCATTGAATAGTGACGTCATTAGTTAGCTTGGCAATTAGACTGTTTTTCTCCTTACCTGCTGCCCTCTCCATCTTGAGCTCTTTTCGAAGAGTGTCGTTTGTCTCAGCTAGGAGGTCATATTCCCTCTTCATATTTCGGTAAGAGCTCAAAGCCTCAAAGGACTCCTGACTAACTTTGAGTCATTCATATGTTTTCTGCCTGAGCTCCCTAGAGATTTTTCTGGGTTCCTCCTTAGTTTTTCTGGCCTCTTCCTTATAACTCCTGCCTTCACCGTCAATCCTCTCCTTATCGGCTTCCAAGCCCCTATTTAGGGAAGTCTGCTTCTCTATCTGCTCCTGCAAATCCTGGATCTGAGCTTTGAGGTCGCTGTTTTTAAAGGACAATTCTGCGACCTTAAGCTCAAAAGCTCTAGAAGCCTGAACAGAACCCTCCACAGGTTGGATCCTTTTTAGCAACCCGTTAATATGGATGGCCATTTGAGAGCAAACCCAACTCAGGAGAAGCTGATCAAAATGATCAAATAAAAAAGAAACATATATGTATATATACAACAAGCTTACGAAAGTAGTGCAAAGAGGGCAGTAGAAATGGAACTCCCAAGTGGCATAGTGGAAGCCCGCTGAGTGTCAGACTTGGGGAGAATAGAAGCAATGGCCTCAGTAGCTCGCTTTACGTTATCAATCAAAGTGCTCGAGCTTGCCTCAGCACTCCCCCCTTTCTCACTATTGCAGATCTTTGAATGTTTCAGAGATGGTCCCTAGAGGAACCAGGGGGAATAGCTTCTGGCAGAATGCGAGAAACCATCTCCAAGGCTCTCTCAACCTCTCCTGAAGAGGGAGAAATTGGGGTTAAACCTTGCTTAGGGACCCCACCAGAAGGGGGCAGCCTAGTCTCCTGGGAAAGAGAGGTCTACGCAGCCTTTGGGGAGTCCAAGGAGGTTGGGAGCCCCGCCGAGGTCACTCAAGGTGGAACAAGGGTCACCTATAGTCTTGAAACTTTGAAGGTTGAGTCACTCCCTGATATCGGCCTTAGCCTTGCGTTTACTTCCACTCCGGTTCTTTCTCATCAAAGATAGCTTGGCATTTCGATCCTTTGCTGTTGGCTCCATTGAAGAAGAGCCTGGAAACTCAAGGAAGAACCAACATGAGAAGGAAGGAAAAGGGAGGAGCCAAGTTTTTTTAAAAAAAAAAAAAAAGAGAAAGGCAAGGGCGAAGGAACTTCACCTACTACCTCCTTAGCCCTGACAAAGGAGAGTGGGATGGGGGTCTCTACTGTTACCTCTGGAAGGTTGAACCCTTCCCTTACTAGAACCCAAGGCTTATGAGTTCAAAATATTTTTCTAGTTTATACTTCTCTAACCTTAGCAACACCTGTTCGTCCTCAGTGCTGAGCTCAGGACGAACACCTGAAAAAAAAATAAGGTAGGACAAGATCAGGTGGGCTCTCCAAATTTGAGCTTGGATAGTTTGAGCAAAGACTTACCCAAGTTATCGGGAACAAACCAGGCTCTAGGAATAGGGAGAGTGTCTGTCTTATCAGCCAGGTTGTACTCCCAGTGTTCTCCCCACACGAAGAAGAAAAGTTTTCTCCAGCCCTTGTGGGAGTTCGGGAGGTTAGAAATAATCTATTTAGCCTTTATCCATTAGAAACATACAATAAACCATCAGTAGGGGTATACTTAACATTGAAAAGTTCCATTAGTAAGGAGACAGTGGGAACACTGAGCTTGTGTAGCTTGAAGAAAAACAAGGAGGCCACCAGGACACCCCAATTGGGAGACAGCTGAGCAGGACAGACATTAAAATGTTGAAGGACACTCTTGACAAAAGGGTGTAAGGGAAAGCGCAGACCATTCTCAAAGGCAGCAACAAAGAAACAAACCTTCTTATGGACCTGGGGACATATGGGGTGAACTTATCTGGGCACCAGAACTGAACTCCTGGAGGACAACCGTAGCGAGCACTAAGGACCTTCATTAGAGGTGGACTGACCTCACTGGGGCCTGTAAGCTCAACAGCTCTAAAGGCAGCACCTGCACCCTCGGTACTGCCTGAGACACCAACTCCGCTCATTTTAGTCTTACCCTTACTAGAATCTTTGGGCGCAAGGGGGCAGATAGGGGAGTTTCCTCAGTGTTTCCCTAGCTTCAGCAGAAACAACCCCAGGAAATTTGTCAATTTCCTCACCTACCTCGCCTAAATCCGAGGTGTCCTTAGCAGTCTTATCCCCCATAAGGGAAACAGAAAAGAGGTGGCTTCAAAAAGGCAGACGTGGTGGGGCAGGAAAAGGGAGTCTAAAGGTACGATAGAGAAGAGGAATATTTACAAAACACTCCCTAACGGTTTGGGGAGCAACACAATAACTCCCAATAAGAAAGACCCTAGCGATCGAATAAGGGTCCAAGAAAAGAGGAATTCGAGATAGTGATCAACCTCAATTTTTAAAATAGCAAAATTGACAGGTCCAAAAATACAAAACCACCTCAAATATGAGGAATCCAGAACGAAAAGACAAACAGAGGGTAAAAAACGTACCTAGGAGAGGAGAAACAGTAGGCCAAAGCCAGAATCGGAGGCAAAGAGCAAATCTCGTCAAAACCTCGGATTGAATCAGGAAAAATCGTTTCCTCAACGAAACCCTAGTGGCACCAGTAAACTCAAAAAATTGAAAGTCGTAGGAAGAAGAGAGGGAAAAAGTGCAGAGAGGGAGTTCAAAGGATGGAATGAACCGCTCCCCCTCAATTCGGAAGCATTTAAAGTTAATGGTATAGAGTGGAGAACATGCACGAGAAACTAGGAAGTGAAATGATTGCTTAAAACTATCAAAAACTTGTTCACGCTTAAATCGAGGTCTGCATCTGGAGGTCAATCCTGTTTAAGCCTCAGCTCAGCCCCCACCCAAGTTCACTTGGAGTAAGGGTGGGGGGCAACTGATAGTACTCAAAATAATTTCTAAGCATGAGATCGGACCAGGAGGTCAGACAAACAGGTCTAGAAAAGAAGTCAGGAAAGACACGCAGAGCCCAGGTCAGAGCTAGAGCTTCCCCCCCCCAAGCTCGCCAACAGCGGAAGTGATAAGGAAACAGCTGGATGATAACAAAAATCTGTTAGGTGGCAAAAAACCATACTCAAGGTATAAAATCCTTAACCAGCCAAGATCCTCTCTTAAGATTAAGGAGTGTTCCTTAATAAATAGCAAGGATCTCGGTGCAGATCTCATAGAACTAGGAACAGCCCTATAAATATTATGTAACTCTCCCAAACACAGGGGGGAGAACCCTAGTAACATATATACTATCCTGTAAACCTTCTAAATAGAGAGAAAAAAAAAAAGCAAGAATCTCCATTGAAGAGTAGACTAGCCAAGCTTCCGAGCTAGTGAACCACTATACTTTTATTGTTCAAGTCTCCCCCCAATACCCCAGTAATCTCAAACACGAACTACACGAGCCCCGCAGCTCAGATCCCAGTTGCCAAGTGTAATACATTCCCTCTGCTCCTCCACTCTAATTTACACTATCATGTTTAATACATGGAAAAGAAAATAATATATTATTTATAATATCTAAAATTTTAAACCTTCAAATTTTGATATTGAGAGATTTATTTCAAAGTTTTAAATTTAATGGTCTAAAAGTATAACTTTTTTTCAAATGAAGGGTAGGTGGGCTGGGCTTGCAGGCGGGCTCTTGGGCGGGGCTTCGAACTGCGTAATGGGTTTTGGGGCAAACCCAAGCCCCTTTTTTAAGGATATTGAGCTTGGATTCGAACGGGCCAACTATCAGGCTTCAGGCCAATTTTTTTTGACCAGGTAACGGGACCCGTGGGTAACCCTGCCCATGGACACCCCTAGGAATAATAAATACCCTTTCAATTTATTTTCAAAAAAATACACTTATGACCAAATAAGTTTCTTTAACGTAGTTTAGTTTAAATAAGTCTAAATTTTTATACCGACTTCTAAATTATCTTTTTTTTTTCTTGTAAATTATTATTGTACGAGATTAATTGATTAAATTCTTGGGCCCAAAATCAGTCTAAAATTTTTTTGTTGGTTTAGGCCTTCATATAGAGCTTTCTTATAAGGGTAATTTTAATGAATTTAAAATTGACTTGTTAAATTTTGAGGCTCTCTTTGTTGGTGGGCCTAAGGCCACCGCTTCTTTTACTTCACTGTTGGGCCGGCCTTGTAATGCAGGCATTTCAAAAGGCCATCAGAGTTCGAATCAAAGAAGAGACCGAAGTGATCGAAGGCGAAGTTGTCGAAATCAAAATTGTCCGCCCTGCTGTGGCCTCGAAGACTGCGATATTGACCTTAAAAACGACGAAGTTGGAGACGGTATACGATTGGGGGGCGAAGATGATTGAGGCATTGTGGAAAGAAAAAATTCAGAGTGGGGATGTTATTGCCATCGATAAGGCCTTCGGGAAAGTCGCGATTCGCGAAGCTTGGGAGGTCGTTTTCGCGGTCCAGGGATTACGATGCGAAGGGCCACAGATAAAGTTCGTTCAATGTCCTGACGGAGAGTTGCAGGAGCGGAAAGAGGTTGTACATTGCATTACTCTTCATGAGATTGACGTTATCAACATCAGGTATGGATTTATATGCTTCACTGATGTTGAAGAATGCGCATTTTTAGTGATTGTGTCGTTTGAATTCCCTTTCAGTATGCATATGAAGTTTAATTTAGGTTTAGGCCTGGAGTCTGCTGGTATTGAACATTTGGATTTCCGTACCTATATGGCTTTCGAGACAGCAACTATGACCCCTCAATTCTAGCTAGGTGAGAATGGCCAGGTTTTCACTATTATAAAAATTGAACCTTTTGGGTACTCATAACAAGCCATTGTCTCGGTTTTGGAGTTAGAACTAACATCATTGACATCGCATCACCTTGTGTATATCTAGAACCACTGTCATTTTTGTCACTCATACAATTCCAGTTATCTGTGTTGCCTGAGTAATTATTCTTCTCTTTTGTATCTAGTGCTTTAACCACTTTGATTTTCGATTTTCTTTTGTTACTTATTTGTGTATTTTCAAATTGGGACAATGTGAAGTTTTTGCTTAGGTTTTATGTTATTATGTTCCTATATCTCTTACTTTGCATGTATGATTACTCTAATTTTTGTTGCTTTGATGAGAAATGTGCTTGCATCTGCATAACCTATCATAGAAATCTTGCAACTGAATCTGAATTAAGGATAATTACTTTTTTAATATTTGAGAACATTTTCAAAATTTGGGAAACGGAAAATGCACTCTGTTGTATGTTTTATTCTTTCATAGTCAAATTGAATTTGTGACCAAATGGACTGTATTGTCAATGAAAAACATCATGTCCAGGTTTTACAAAACTGCTACTTGAGGTTTGATTGCTCTTCCAACTAAGTTGGTGGTCTTAGATAGTAGCAAGGACCACTTTAAACACCCCTCCCCCCCCAAAAAACAAAAAAAATCACCAAAAAAAAAAAAAAAAAAAAGAAACAGCGGATGTGTTAAATATCATAACTCGGTTGAAGGCTTGCTTGAGCTTGGTTCATGAGATACATGAGCTAAGATTGAGCATATTATTTGTTGGATTTTTGAGCTTGACAGCTAGTAAGCATTAATACCATAAGGGAAATCGAAAAAGCATGCGCAAAGCAGATTCCAATAATCAAGCAATTTGGGTTCAGTTACTGATCTCAACTAAATTAGAAGCTTAATTGAGAGCAACTAGTGAGATAAATGAACCAACCTCGAGTTTCATTTGAAATTCTTTAAGATTTTCAAACCAAGCTTAAGCAACCCACTAATTAGCTAGACTCGACTTGTTTACACCCCTAAGAGTTGGGTCCAATGCATGAACATTTAATATATGATTTTTTTTATTAAGAAATATACCACTTGTGTGCATGAAACTGCATGTCCATGCTCTCATTTGCATTTGATGTGTTTGTTAGGATAGCCTTGAGCCATGGAAGAACCCATTAATTGATTTGGTTTAATGACTACAGACATAAGCCATGTACCAGCAACATACTCTAGTAGTGTCTTTATCTATGTTTACATATTCCGATAATTTCATTTGGATGGTGCATGACCATTCTTTTAGTAGCTGAATTTAAAAAGAAGGTGGGGGTGGCGTAGATTGTGCTTTTCATGGGTTGATTATGTCATCATTGATCATCAAAAGTTATTTGCCAATTAGGATGACTCTCTTAATATTTGGACCCACAATATTCTTTGTTAAAATGAGATCCTTTGCCATATTTCTTCCTTAATTCGGGTATAACATCCATTCTTGTGCCATTAATATATGTTGATTGCTAGGTGCTACCTATCAGAATTACCCATCTTTAAAGTTATGATGACCTAGGCAGTTAGTTGTTGTGACCATTATAGTGGATGTGTTGGTCCTTTGTATTGAATTTTTATCTAGCTTGGTTTCTAGAATTTAGTAGCTGCTTATAGAGGTTAATGTGAAACAGCTCTCGACTGACTAATGGCTTGAGACTTAAAAGTCTGTTTGTTTAGCACGATAATACAAGAGAAAATTTTCTCAAAATTTTCGTATGTTTGGTTAGCATAAAATGGAAAATAATGGAAAAAATAATTTTCCTCCATGCTTAGACTTTCTTACAACTAACCAACTTTTTTTTCTTGTAAAAAATACAAAAAAAAAAATTTGTGATCTATAATTAACTTCCCATGTTACTCTTATTTTGCTTAAAATATTCAATTGGTTTTTAATTTTGAAAAAAATTGGTATGAATTAGGCTAACCATATAATATGGCCCGAAGATCTAGGTTCGGGCTGATCCTTGTCTCACAGATACAATCTTCGGGCCGATCCTTGTCTCACAGATACGTTTGGAGCCTATTTTTAGAATAAGTTTTTTTTTAAACTTTCTTGCAAGTTTTCAATGCTAACCAAATACGTGCATGAATATATATATATTTTTTCATTTTCTTTTCTTTCACTTTATTTTTTATCAATTTTACTTTCCATTGATCTTTTGTTCCTACAAACGGACCCTAAGGTTTTGGCCCCCCTCCCCCCATTTCCTCTTCTTTTAAAAACAAAAAATGTACATGTAGAGAGGCCAACAATTGCACCAAAGATCTTGGCTGCCTCAAATGATAAGCCAGAAGTGTATGGAAACCCAAGGGGCCCTATCTCTCTCTTTAATAGTTGAGCCGCGGACCTTGCCTGCCTCTAAACAATCCAATCCTGCCCTCCTTTTTTTTTTTCCATAATTATTTGCTAGGGATTGTTTCAAAAGCTTGTCAGACAGTAACATCGGCTTTGAGTGGAGTACAGGTACTTTGTAATTTTAGAAATAAAAATGAAGAACTCCAGTAATAAGACAAACAAGTCAAACAAGCGAATGTTTTTAGGGAGACACTAGACTCTAGCGATGCTGATGAAACACTTGAGGAGACATCCATTTTCTTCCCCTTGTTTTTTTCTCTTCATAGTAATGTTTCTATCTTTGCTTGAACATCCTTCCTTTGGTATGTAATGTTTTAACGGGATAATGGCAAAGTCCAAGAACATTTCTTACCTTCCTCCTCTTCTTCCTGCAAAAGCAGGGGAAAGGTAACCACCTTTTCACAGGGTAGCTTTTCATCCTTCTTACTTTGTCTTCTCTCTAGTATCCATCTCTTGGTATATGAGGGCATATTCTATGTAATGTTCCCATTCGCTTTTTTGTTTCCTTTTTGTGCTATAATCATTTGATAGTTCTCAGTGCTGCATTGATTCTTTTCCTTTGCTGTAAACTTAATCATAGAGAATTTCAAGTTTTCTTCTTTACATATTGATTGTGTTGAACCTTATGTTCATTTCAATATTCTGAATGCAGGGATTCCTGGCTCTCTTTACTGGTGATACTGGTGAATCCGTGCTGAAGTAAGGGAATAAATTGACACAAAAGTCCTAGAGTGGAGAGAGGAAGGGAAAGCAGAGATCGTGCCAGGCGTCCTATTCATTGACGAAGTGCACATGCTTGATATTGAGTGCTTTTCATTCCTAAACCGTGCTTTGGAAAATGAAATGGCACCGATATTGGTCGTAGCTACCAAACGGAGGGATCACTACAAATCTGAGGCACAAACTACAAATCTTCCCATGGCATTCCAATTGATTTTCTTGATCGCTTGCTCATCATCTCTACAAAGTTACACAGAAAAAGACATTCGGAGAATTCTGGACATTAGGTGCCAATTAGGAAGATGTTGAAATATCTGAAGATGCAAAGATTTTGTTTACTAGAATTGAAGTAGATACATCTCTGAGATATGCAATCCACCTCATCACATCTTCTGCCTTGGCTTGCCAGAAGAGGAAGGGAAGCTTGTGGAAATGGAGGACATTAGTCGTGTTTACAAGTTGTTTGGGATGTGAAGAGATCAACGCAATACTTGACGGAGTATCAGAGCCAGTACATGTTCAATGAAATGCCAACGGGGGAGGGGGATGAAGGTGACACCAGTGCCATGATGGCATGAGTAACTCCTTTGGAAAGTTATCCAGAAATTTGTAAGTCTTGGCTTCTTCCTCTTCCCTCATCCTCTTCCTCTTTGTTTGCTCTGCACTAATCTATTCAAAGGAGATTCACTTGTAATACTTAATTTTTTCTGAAGTCTGGATGAGCAG